CTAGTCATGTGGCTGGCAACGTGTTTATCTGAGAGAGCCATCGTTGAAGTGGATGCCTCAGCAGTCAAAGCTTAAGTTAGGCACTTGCATTGCAAAAGAGAAAAAAACAACTATCAGGGCTTACACTACAATAAGTCTCTAGTAAACAGAATATAGTGGCATTTTGTTTAATTCTGTTTGACAATCATTATCTTTTAACTGGAAAGTTTAGTTTATTTACATTGATTCTGATTACTGTTACATTTGGATTCTCTTCTTTCATGCTATTTTATACTTTGTGTTTGTTTGGATCTTTCCTTTTAGAATTTTTTCTTGCCTTCTTTTGGATTTGTTTTTTTCCTAAATCTGTTCTTTCCATTAATAGTTTGGAATTTGTACACCCTATTTCTATTCTTTTTGTGTTTACCCTAAAAATTTTAACATTTATGTTTAACTCTACATAGTATAAAGTTAATTAATATCTTTACACTCCTGCTAAATAAAGTTAATTAATATCTTTACACTCCTGCTAAACAACCTATGGACCTTAGAACATTTTAACTCAGTCGCCTCTTCCTGATTGTATATGATTCGAAGTCCATGATTTAAGTTCTACCTTGATGTTTTATAACAGCTTTATTGAGGTAGAAGCTTCACTTTTTTAACCCTACAAATTAGACATTGTCATTATACCATAAATGTTTTAAGATTTATCCACACTTTTACCAGTTTTTTCCCTCCTCATTCTTTGTCTCATATCAGATCTTTTTTCTATGATTTTTTTCCTCTACTGACTTACACTCTTTTTAAGTTCCTTTAGCAAGAATCTGTTCAGAGTAAATGCTCTTGATTTTTATTTGCTTAGAGATGTGTTTCACTTTTGTTCTTGAAAGATAGTTTTGGTGGGTAGAAAATTATTTTCTCTTCCTACTTTGAAAATAATATTCCACTGTCTCTGACTTCCATTTTTGATGATGAAAAGACTGCTATTGGTGTAAATGTTTCTCCTTTGTAAGAAATCTGTCTTTTCTCTTTGACTACTTTTAAGGTTTTCTCTTTGTTTTTGGTGTTCAGCATTTTCCTTATACTATGTCAAGTGTGTTATTATAAATAACTTATTTATCCCCTATTTCTGATTCATTACGCTTCTTGAATTTGAGGATTAGTACCTTCCACCAATTTTGCCTCTACCTCATTCTTCCTATAATCTTCTAGAATTCTGATTAGATAGATGTTGTACCATCTCAACTTATCCTCCATGTCTTTTAACTATTCATTTTCTCTATCTGTGTTCCACATTCTGGTCATTTTTTTATATCTGCCTTCTAGTTTCCAATTTTCTCCTCAATTTTGTCTAATCTGCTCTAAAGCTCATCTGTTGAGTTTCCAATTTTAACTATTATATTCTTTATTTCTAGAAGTTGTTGTGGCTCTTTTTCATGTCCTTCAGGTTGATTTTCATCGTTTCTTATTCCTTCATCGTTTAATGCCTTCTTTTATTTCTCTAAACATGTTAAATATATTTATATTTATATTTCATAGTTGATATTTCTGGTGCCCATATTCTTGCAGGTCTAGTTTTATTGTTTTATTGATTCTTGATCATGCTTCTTTATGTATTTAGTGATTTCTTTTAAAACTTTGAACTCATGTCCCTTGGAACTTTACCTGTGGGAAGTTGTCGAGGCCTGATTTTAAGTGTATTCCTCCAGAGAGAACTATATTCTGTCAAGTGCCTGGGAGCTCAACCAACTCGAGACCATTCTAACCAAAGTGTTTGACTTTTTTCTAGCTAGGTGGTGTGAATTCAGACTCCAAACCCATGTGAGTGAACCTGTGGTTAGAAATTCTTAAAGGAGACTCTTTTATTTCTCTCTCTCTCTTTGTTTCTGTTCCACTCAAAACCAAGACTAAAATAGGCACATCCTACTATTTCCTTTTGCTAGACAGATTGTTTTTCCTTATTCACCCACTGAAAGTGCCAGCCCTTTAGGATTTCTAACTTATCAGGTGAGGAGGGCTCTAAACTACCTCCTTTTCAGGCCTCATATTTGTAGCTTCTAAAAGCCAAGTCTCTGGCCATGGGGGAATGACAAATACCTCGAAGGCAAAGCAATACAGACCTCTCTGAATTTGTGCTTAGTTGATGTTCTGGGTTCTAAGAAATCCCTAATTCCTCACTAACATATTTTGGTGATTTTTAAATACATTAAAAAATACAATATCCAACATTTGGGGTTGTAAAATACTGAGAACAGTTTCTCTGAATGTTTAATCTATTATATTGCCAGAAAATATGTTTCAGACTTTGGATTTGTCAAAAGATAATGCATATGACAAGGGACACTGATATGGAATTTTAATTGTATATTCTCAGAATGTTTAATACAGCCTGACCATTGTATTAAAGCTCCTCATCAATAAATCCTACCAATGACAAATTTTGAGTCAAATCAATTCTAAGAGGCAATTCTAACAGAAAGTTATATGGGGCCACTTTAAAATCTAGATTTGTTTTTTAAATAATATTTTCCCCAGATATTAAAAGTAATATATTCATTGTATAAGATTATAAAAACACAGCAAAATAAAAAGAGAAAATTTAAAATAGCCTATAATCTCTCCATTGCACCATCCAAAAATAACTATGAACATTTTTGCACGTATTCTTCCAGACTTTTCTCACATACACATACACACATTCACATATATACTGTATATCTAAATAAATTGGAAAGATATTGGATGTGCACAATTTTAAACTTATATTGACTATATACCATTTTAAATTTTTTCTAACTTGGCTTATTATGAGCATTTCCACATGTCATTAAATGTTCTTCTAAAATTCACTGTTTAGCATTATGATAAAATAGAAAGTCACTTTCATATTATAAATCGTTGTAATATTTCACTACTATAAAAAAATGCTACAACCAATACCCTTACATATGAATTTCTGATTTTGGAGAAGCAGAAATTCTGGATCAAAGTTTATGAGCTTTTTAAAGTTTCTGCTATATTGCTATATCCTTGGCAGTGTTGACTGTTATAATTTTTAATGTTTTCCAGTTTCATAGGTGAAACAGCATTTTATTGTTTTAATTTGCATTTCTTTGATTAATTGGGAGGTTGAGTGTTGAAAAATATGTTTACTGAGAATTAAATTTTTCATTTATAGATTGTCAGTTTCCTATATGTCCTTTGTGTCATTTTTAAAGTTTGCTGGATGACTCAAAGATCTCTTACAAATATATGCTGAGAATCACTAACTTTAGCTGCCATCCCTCCCCACATTTCCACACTTGAGTAAAGCCAGAAGATTTTTATGATTTTATTTCAAAGGATGAATTATTCTGAAGAAGGAGGCTTTGTGACCCAGGATTTTGGAAATGAGGTTCCCAGGGACTCCCATGTGACCTCAGCCATGTGACCTCGGGGGATCATGTACCTCCTAGGACCTCAGTTTCCTCATCTGGAAAATGAGAGATTTGACCTAGATGACCTAAAAGATTGCTTTCAGCTTGTCATTTCTGTCCTCGGAAGCTCTAATACTTACTATGCTCTAATCCTCCAACACGTCAAAGTAATAACCTAACACATTCACCTAAAATAGAAGACCAGACTCTAAGCATACCCAGATCACCAAACTCTTTCCCTAAACTGGCTTACATGTGGTAGTTTCACTCAAATGATTTGATTGGGTTGGCCAAGCCATAATTTTAGTGTAAGCATGCTGAGGGAGGTGGCTCTTCCAGATGGACAGGAGAACAATTTCTCCTCTTGCATGGGAGAAGGTCGTGCAAGTTTACTGCAGGACTGTAGACCTCCTCAGCACCTGTGGCTTCTGCAGTGAAAACCCTCCTTGGCAGCTGCATGTGCGTCCCTGGACTGCAGGGCTCTGCTGGTCTCTCCAAAGTTGAGAGAAGGGAGAGATCTGAAAACTGGACATGGTAATCCCAGGTCCTTACCACATCAACACTCTGAAATAGATATCATCTCCACCTGCAGATCAAGAATCTAAGGATCAGAAAACATAAATGTTTGCCTAAGGTCCAAATTTAGTGGTATTAAATTGCATTTGAACTGAGTCTGTCTGACTCTAAATGTGTGCTCGTTGTCTTAGTGCTTTCCACTGGACAGTTGGGAATAAAGACAAAGCAAACCTCCAAATTAGATTCACGTTTCATATTAGCCTCTGTCAAGTCAATGACTTTTGAATATTTTTCACCACGACCCCCACTAAGAAATATATTTTACATCTCAACCTGGTATATACACACGCATGCACATATGCATCCATATGTATATATTTACATATACATATAAAAATAAAATCTAAGTGTGAGGCACTTTTGTGTTTCTTATATTTTCTCTTCTGTTAGAAATACTAGTTTCTGCCCTCTAAAATAATTTCATGACCCACCAATGAGTTGTGACCTGAGTTTTAAAAAATACCATGTTCAGGGCCCGCCCGGTGGCGTATTGGTTAAGTGCACACGCTCTGCTGCGGCAGCCCGGGGTTCTCAGGCCCGGATCCTGGGCACGCACTGACGCACCGCTTGTCAAGCCATGCTGTAGCAGCGTCCCATATAAAGTAGAGGAAGATGGGCACGGATGTTAGCCCGGGGCTGGTCTTCCTCGGCAAAAAAGAGGAGGATTGGCATGGATGTTAGGTCAGAGCTGATCTTCCTCGCCAAAAAATAATAATAATAATAATACCATGTTAAGAAATTTCTTTTTTCTCCTTCTTCCTTTTAGCAGGGCTACCTCGCAGCACTGTGCTAGTTCACTGCACAAGGACATCTGTCGGATTAAGGGGGTGAATAGGGGCAGAAATCCAGACATCACTCTACTGGACAAGCAGTGAGCTTTTGTGTGGGACTGTAGCTGCCCAGAGGAAGGAGTACCTTTTCTTAATTCAATAAATGTGCCCTCTGGGCTGGTGGTGGCCTTGCTTCTTACCCCTGTGTGGCTCTGACATAGACGGATTGCAAGGTAAGGAAGGTGCGGATCGAAGCATGGTGTGCTCCCTGAGCCTCGACTCATCCTTAGTTCCTGATGAGCTCGTCATCGGGTGGAAAAGAAATGTGGATGAAACAGGGAGGTATGAAATCAGAGAGAAGCAGAACCTTGCGAGAAGGTTGAAGCTGCTTTTCAATGAGGTTGGTTTCCTTTTTTTGAAGGACTGGATTTGTAAACCAAATGATGCAGACACCATTCTTGTGCTGGTAAAAACTGGTGCGTTTGGAAAGGGTCTGGGCACCGGGCCATAGTAATGCCATGTTTACAGCTTTAAAGGATGCACTTACAATGCTGAATTGGCAGGAACCAAGCCTGGAGAGATGGAGGCCCTTTCATCCTACACACTGCCTATCCAACCTGATCCAGGCACTTGGCCCCAAGCATCTCCTCTGAAAATGAGGCGGCTAGTGTATCTCCAAGGTCCCCACCAGTTCCGATAACTCGGTGCTTCTCTGTTCGTGGGAAAGAAACCCGTATATGTCAGTGATTATGGACTGGCCAGCAGAAGAGGTGGTTCGGTAATGAAGCCCTGAACTTACCTCCTTCAGAGTGCTTTTCCAATTAAGAAACCCAATTAAAAGTGATCAGTTCCTTTGGAGGGGTAATGAGGGCTTCTTGACATCCATCCACAGGCCCTTGGAAAGGGCCAAGTGAGTTTCTGGTGCCCTGCAGATAACTTTCTCTTTTGCTGCTTGACGGACGTTGAGCTGGGCTGGCAGGTTGCAGGAAGAAGCACAGGTTCCACTTTCAGCAGCCCTGTTCCTCCCGCTTAAACCTGTCATCTGTTGCCCTTGCCACTCAAGTAGGCTGGGGCAGCGTCATTTTGCCCTGCCGCCTGGTAGCAATCAAATAGATGTTGAACCACTTTTATTTCAGGCCTGTGGTAGGCCTCGAGCATTGGTGCATTCCAGGAACCTGTGATTTTGTTTTCTGAGAGTGTGATGGTTAAGGGTTAACACAATAGAATTACTATTTAAGCCTAGGATAGAGTGCAACCCTCCTAGCTGTGTGATCCTGGGCAAGTTACTTAACCTCTCTGGACTTACTTTTGTTTCTCCACAAATTAAGAAAAATAATAGCATTTCCCTCATAGAGAGGCTGTGGTTTTTGATGAGATTGCACAGGAAAAGTGTTTTTTTCCCTTGAGTCCCTACCCTGTGCTACTAGCCTGCTCTCCCTGAGTCCTGTCTCCCCGTGGTGTGTTTTCCTCCTGCCATCTCAAGACTTTGGATCACTTCCCAGGCCCTCTTCTCTGTTCCTCCCGTGCAGCTAGATGAAGGTACAGTTCCCCGACTAATCTCTCACTAATAGTCAAATCCTCAGTGTTCTGACTTGAACCTGCTTTCCCTCTGTTCTTGCAGAGGATTAAGAGAAAAGCAGTTTCTCTAACCATGAAACTGATCCTCACTCGACCATGAAATTCTCTCAAGCCCTCCTGTCACTGCCCTAAAAATGTGTTTACTCTTTTCTTACATACATCGTCAATATTTAATCTTAGCTTGTCACAGCTCCATCCAGTCATGGCTGTGTCTGATGTTGGTTTGCCAGCATCTTTGTTTTCTGTTCTGGATTGAATCACTCCCCTTGACTTGGGGACTAGCCAACCCCATTTGCGGTATATGGTGCCTGGCTCCATGTCATGGGTAAAAGGGCAAAGGACACTTAACGTCCTTGAGAGTGGTGATAATGAGTGTTCATGGTAAAAGGTCTGGGCCTGAATCAATCATAAAATGTCGTAGCTTATGTATTAAAGTCAAGTGGCAAACAACTCATTTCCGACTTAAGAAGCAGGATTCGTTAGAAATTCTCCAGTCCTCCCAGCTTGCAAGTGTGGGTGTCAGGACAGGTAAGGGCCCTCAATTCTAAAAGCCAGATCACTCCAGCTGTGGCCTCAAAATAGTTCTCCTTGCCTTCTAGCATTATATAGTGTTTCTTTCTATTGACTTCTTTATAACAGTTTTTTTGAGGTAGAATTCACTTACCATAGAATTCACCCTAAGTGTGCAATTCAGTGGTTTTTCATATATTCACAGAGTTGTAAAACCGTCACCACTATTTAGTTTTAGAACATTTCATCACGCCCGAAAAGGAACCCTGTACCTATTGGTAGTTACTCTCCATTTCTCTCACCCCCCTGTCCTTGGTAGCCACCAATCTATTTTCTGTTGCTAAGGACTTCCCTTGTGGACATTTCATATAAATGGAATTATATAATATGTGGCCTTTTTTGTCTGGCTTCTTTCACTTAGCATAATGTTTTTAAGGTTCATCTATGTTGTTGCCTTTTTATGGCCAAATATTCCATTGTATGAATATACCACATTTTGTTTATCCATTCATCAGTTGATGGACATTTGGGTTATTTCCACTTTTTGGCCATTATTAATAATGCTGCTGTGAACATTTGCTTACGAGTTTTTGTGTGGATATATGTTTTCAGTTCTCTTCGGTATACACTTCAGAGTGGAATTGCTGGGTCATATGCTCACTCTGTGTTTAACATTTTAAGGAACTGCCCAACTGTTTTCCAAAGTGGCTGCACCATTTTGCATCCCTATCAACAATGTATGAGCGTTCCAATTTCTCTACATCTTTGCCAACATTTGTTGTTATATGTCTTTTTGATTATACTCATCCTAGTGGATGTGAAGTAGTATCTCATTGTGATTTTGATTTGCATTTTCTTGAAGGATGATGATGTTGAACATCTTTTCAAGAGTTTATTAGCCATTTGTATATCTTCTTTGGAGAAATGCCTATTCAAATCCTTTATCCATTTAAAAATTGGGTTATTTGCCTTATTGTTGAGTTTAAGAGTTCTTTATGTATTCTGGATACAAGTCTCTTACCATATGTATTATTTGCAAATATTTTCTCCTATTCTGTGGGTTGTTAAGGAATGTGCTCTGTAGATGGGACAGCTCCTGGACTGGGAACCCCTGGGTCTCCAAGCTGTTCCATATTGCTCTCTAGGCATACTTGTATCTAGAGTGATTTGGGAGCCTTGGACCAACCCCAAAGCTGCCTCTTCCCTTGAGTTGGTCTTGAGAAAAGATCGATCCACTAGAAGCTAAGGACTGGAGGAGGATTCAAGGTTTGTTGGGGTCCAGGACTTCCTGATTATGGAGAACCTGGGAACATGAATCTACTTGAACACTGGACCTAGGATGCTTGTCATCTGGTTGCTACATCACCCTTCCTCACCTACTCCTCACTCTTCTCTGTATTATCTAAGAGAGTTTCCTGTCATCAAACCCCCTTCCCTACATCTTGCCCAGAAGCCCAGTTGGGCCACAGTCCTTCACTTCCAGATGTGCCATTTTGCTGTCTGGACCGTGGTGCTTAGCTTTATACATCTTGGTTTTGGGCTGATCCTGCCTGTCTACCCCGTCTCCCCAAATATAACCCCTCCCACTCCAGGCCCCGGGAACATTTGCATCCATCTTGAACAAAGCTTTGTAAGTGTATGGAGCTATATACAGTAAATAATAACAATACCAGTAATGATCTACTCCATCATTGTCTAGCATGAACAGTAATTGCACAAGCCTGATTAATGAGCACACTCTGAGGGTAAAGAGAGCTTATCTAAGCAATCATGCTTTGTACAAAAATGCACAATTGGTTCAAAGCTCCAGTGGTTTCCAAGGGACTCAGGAAACACCGCCTCTCTTGCTTCTAGCTTGCTTCAGCTGCACAGGAACTGGTGGCATGGTGGATGGCGTTTTGTGGCCCTGAACAAGGCTTATTTATTTAAATAGGTTCCAATGTGCCAGGCTGCTCTTTTGAGGCTTGCTTTGAAGGGCCGTTACAAATCTGCTGTTTTCTGCTGCCTTTTATTTTAAGTCCAATTAAGTGGAGAGCCACAAATAGCTCTGACCTTGAAAGTCTAAGTGAAGGTGAGATGTGAGAACAGGCTTAGGAAACATATGTTTTGGCACGTTAATGCTCTGCAAGCTACACACACTTAGGGAAAATAAATAGAACAGGACAAGAGAATGTCGTGCTTTCGGAGGAAGAATTTGAATGCCCTGAAAAATAGCACCACACACTTCATTGGTGGATAATCATAAACTGCTAAAAATTAATACAAGTCTATCTCACTTCACTGTGGCTCTGGGAGACAAGCCCCAAATGAGTGGTATTGCCAGTGATGTTCAGTGCATAGTCACCTTGCATCGGCATCTCTGCAGCATGCCACTACCGAGCAATGCTTCCTTTCTCTCAGCAGCCTCAGTCCATGCTTTTGGTTATTTATTTTTAGTAAAACAGTGCTTAGAGCACCATACCACCATTTCAGATCAGTTTTTTGCAAATATGAATCACAGGACAAACCTTCTGTAGTTGAATAGCTTGTTTTAAAAATATTATCAGCATGGGCCTCTTATACGAATTCTTCAAGTCCTAGAATTCAGTTATAGAGATTTAAAGAGTTTTTTTAACCATCTTAAAAAATAATATTTAGTATTTTATGTTCTATGAGCTACTTTTCTCTCTTTTTAACCTTAACCTAACCAGTCCAGGGGGAAAAAATTCTTGTCCGAGAATCTTACTGACTCGCTGGTTGGTCATTGTTAAGTTTTAGTTTCTAGACACCTACTTAAAAATATTTTTATGTTTCTACTACCTCAGTAAATGCTCCAACATTTCAAGAGTTATATATGTGTTTATCTGTCCCCAATTTTCTACATCAAGAAATAGGAGCAGATGGCTTTTCCCTTGTCTCGTAGGATAGTGTGATAATTAATGAGATGACAGGAATGGATCACTATCTGAGCCCATGTTCAAATGACACTGCAGACATAGAGAGACAGTGGCAAGTGATGAATGAGAATATTAGGAAGTAGGATTAGAGTGATTTCAAGCACATTTTTAGTGTAGGGTTCAAATAAATTGTCTTTATAGAAAGGATTCCTCTAACGTGAATATCTTGAAAAAATGTTCATGTAGTCATCTTGAGAGATTAATAAAGCACTTTCTGGCAATCTGTATTTGTGTATGATTGTAATCCCATGAACTTCCATTTATCCAGAAGTCCCATATCCGGATGTCCAGAACAGAACCAAGATCCAAATCCAGGAGGACTTTTGAGCAGCCAAATATATGCCAGAAGATCAATGCTCTCAATTTCATGCTCTTA